GGAGTATTAATCACAAACTAGTGTTCAGATATTTATTCATCTAGCTCTTTACACCACCACCTGCTTTATCCCAGACTCAGAAAACAGTGCGTCCAGAATTATTAGGCACGTTGATTTTCAGATCATATTTTTTTTGCAGGCACATTTTACCAATTCCAAACCACATTAATCTTAATAACTACTATTAATTTAGCATTTAATCATTTATAAGTGATATATACTGTTCATGAAGGCTGGAAATTAAAAAAAAAAAAAAAAAACGCAGTAAGTTTGGGGAAGTTCTTCACGGTAGAAGATTCTGGAAGATGAATTCTTCAAACAACGGTAAAAGAGGATGTGGTGCTGGTCCTTCAAAAGTCACTCTCAATCTGTCTGTCTATAAGCCTATAAAAAACAGTCTTCATGTATTTTACAACACTCCAGCTTGTGATTCTTATCTTCTGGTTTCACGCTTAATTCTTCTCCTTAATTCTTAATTATTTGCAGTTAACATGTGTCTTTTCTTGAGCAATAAGCATTTCACTGTCCAATGGTCATGTCTTAACTGCAATTTAACTGCAACATCCTTCTCATGGGCATTTAATAATTTTTGACTTTTCAGTCGGAGTCAAATCTCTTTTTTGGCTTATTTTATCTGTATGAGAAATATAACCTGAATATAAGGATTTTTTATAACACTTATAAATGATTAAATACAAAATGAATAGTAGCTATTCAGATTAATGTTGTTTGGAATTGGTAAAATGTGCCGGGAAAAAATGTGATCAGAAAATCAATGTGCCTAATAATTCTGTATTCTCATCCACAGGAAATATACCTAATTGGAATAATTATGGCACAATACATTTTTGTTTTAGGATAACCTTTAATTGGTGTAAGATGCCATTTAATCCCTCTTAAAACACACACTCAAATTAAATTCACATATATTTGTATAGCACTTTTCACAATAAATATTGTTTCAAAGAGGCTTCACAGATAATGCAACACACTCCTTCTTGAGAGTGCATCTCAGACAGGATTAGGTGGATTACAGAATAGCTAACCCTTGATTAAAAGCTTTCACCTTCATGAAAGACAGCTGCCATTACCAGCTATGGAATATCAGAGTCAGCGAGACGTCAGCCAAAGGATTAAACTGGGATTAAGAGAATCATATCAGGCTATGTCACACCACATTCACTGGCCTTTTCACTGACATTCACTCATCTGAAAACATAACATTTCTTTTCCCACACAGATTAAGAACTTGGTTGTGACAACCTAACGATGAAGAGGAAGAGGAAGAACCAAAGTCTTTGGGAGGGAAGGAAGGAGGGATGAGGAAGACAATAAGATAAAAGGAGGAACCGACTACATTTGACCCAGAAGTGGACGGACAGAAATTCTGCCAGGATTTAAATCCATGTGTATTTGACTCAAAAAGGTGTCACTGAATTCATTTATGAACAATCCTCTCTACCTTTCTTTCATCTATTAGTCTGTCTCTCCAAGCCACAAATCTCTTGCTCAACCTCCCTAGTTTACAAAATTGTATCTTTCTTTGTAAGTGCTGCTCATTTCCACCTGTTGTAATTTATCAAAATATACAAAACTTCTGATGGGCTTTGAAGTCTGACTCTGTAGTTTTTTTTTATTATTATTATTATATATATTTTCTAGATTTAGCCAAATAGATGTCAATATCTATCTGTCTCTTTCCTTTAATAATAAATAAATACAACATAGAGAATAGACTACCCAGCTGTTTACATGCTGATTAGCATGATTAGCATGCGCTGCTTAAACACAGACAGAGGGTGCTGTGTGCTCACCATACAGGACATAACATTTGTTCTCTAAAGTTTATGAAGTACAAATATTTTTTAAAGAGTACATCCTGTACTGTGATCAACGTGACCATATGTTTGGGCTTGCTTTTCAAATTGTAACATTGTTGTTCCAAGTTGTTACTACTTGATCTAACTAAATAGGCCCTACTTTGGTTGGTGTAATGTAACAATTTCAGGCTGATTCAGTCATTTTAAGATAGTAATTTATGCCATAACCACATAAAGCACTTTTTTATATATATATAAACTTTTTATATGCCATTTAAGACTAGTCTTTTTTAACAGAAACCTATATGTTTTAGAAATGTAACAGATTTGGTTCGGTTCAGAAAATGAATTATCGTCATTGCTTAATAAATCTGAGTTGTAACATCGCCAAGTTACAATTTTGTTTTCACTGATGTCATTGGTTCTACCAAGGGCGTAGCTTTGGTCTCAACTTTGGTGGGGCATCCCATTCCCTCGGCTTTTCAGCCAATCAAATGATGGCGTTTCAAGTACTGTCGCCTTGGCCATCGAAATGCATCCAAATAGCAAGGAGTTTGCTAAAATATTGGTGGGGACAATTTTGTCATCTTAAAATATTGCTTGGGCCTAGTACCTATAGCGTCCCCCATAAACCTACGCCCATGGGTTCCACTGTACTTAAGAACCTACCAACAGGTGTTGAGACGTGGAATAGAAAAAAAAACCTAAATCCTGGCTCAAGGCTTCTCCTTATGCCACTAAGCACATTAGCTCGATTGTTTTCTGCTGTTAAATAACTTGAGCTCTGAGGGAAGTCTTGTCACAGTCACTACAGAAGAAACAGTCATTCAGAGAAACTATCATTCCATGACATCTTTTGTCATGATTTTGGGAATATGCAACGAGAAGGAAGACAGCTGAGGAGCATTCAGCATCAGAAAGAGAGAGAGAAAGAGGGCAAGTGTCTGTCAATGAGGGAAAGAATTGCGGGGTATGTACACAACATATTATCTGACCATAAACATGCTTGATAATGAGATTCACATGTACTGTATCTTACCCTACCTGTAATCACTAGTCCAAGCCTAATCTTAACCTAACCTAAAATAAGTTAGCATTATGTGCTCTGTTAAATAAAGTATAAATTGCTACATTGCAATTGGGTGGGGGGGGGGGGGTGTAAAGAAATTTAAACTTTTATTCATCAAGGATGCATTATAAATGTAACACAAGTTTCACACAAGAAAATTAAGAAGCACAACTGTTTTCAACATCGACTATAAAAATACCTCTTCAGCGCCAAATCAGCATATTAGAATGATTTCTGAAGGAGTGGAGTAATAATGCTGAAAATTCAGCTTTGCAATTCATTTCATTTTAAAATATATTAAAATAAAAAAAAGATCATTTTAAATTGTTACAATATTTCACATTTCAGTTTTACTCTATTTTTCATCAAATAAATGCAGCCTTAGTTAGCATAAGAAATGACTTTCAAACCATTAAACACAATCTAAAATAAATATACTGAACTTATAATGATGTTTACTTATTGTTTTCTTCCAGATCATCAGAAAATGAATGAAAACTGATGAACTGTTGTTAAATTGTTAAACTTAAAGACACAGTGGAGTAAACAGCAATATTTATGGATTTAGATAAGAACAAAAGTCTCGATGACGAGGAGGACTTATTCAAGGACTACAAACCCACGGGAAATGATCCGCTCACTCTACCCAAGCATGTAATATATCTGCTGTTGGCTGTAAGTGTGACAGGCGTCACTCTGTTCGCCATGATAAGACACCTCATCAAAGATCTCATCCATGATCTGGCAGGTATGTGACAAATGTCCACTGTCCCTTTCCACTTAAAGAATTACGAAATCCTCTTTGAATGTTATCTGGCTAGTTTTCAATGAGATGCATGACTTTGTGTTCCTTAAATACACTTGACTGCTTTGCCAAAAACATAAACCAGCGAAAGAGAGTTTGCTGGTGTTAGCTCCTCTTGGAAACAACTCCTTTCAGTACCTATTTCAACCGCTAACTGTCAATATTACATACTGCAGCTTTAAGTCTTTGTTTGCAAAGCTCAAACTTGGCGCTAACAAGGTCATGGGTTCAATTCCCAGGGAAAGAATAATACAATGTTTACCTTGCAAATGGAAGTCGCTTTGGATAGAGTGTCTATTATTGTATATGTAAGACAATCACAAACTAGGTTGGTTGAATCTGTTTACAATGAGTTTACAATGAGAGACTTGATGATCATAATAGCTGTCAACATCCCCAAAAGCCTGTGAAGAAATCTATCAGCATAACGTGAGACTGAATGCTCTTAGATGTCCTGTAGATTACCTGTTTGGAGAGCAGCCTATGGAAGAGCAGGAGATTCCCTGGGAGAGACAAAATAAGTTCAGGGAAGACTGGATTCCAGAAGCAATGCCTGAGCTCGAGGCCATGGTGAATGAAGAGCTAGAACTCATGGACGACACTGAAGACTTGCCAGCCATCTGGGTTACATGTGCCCCATCCTCCATTCAAATAGGCTAAGTGTTAGCAGCAGCTAGCATGAAAACAAGATTCAGCATTTCTCATCTGAATACTCTCACAAGAGAGCTTAAATCCTTTTTTTTCCCTCATGGAATTGTTTTCTGTCCTATAATGACATACTTTCTACTGAAACGAGTTGGCATATATATCAAATAAAATTTGAAATGAACAGTTTGCTAGTCAGCAGCATGTGGTATCGGGGGCGGGCATTGATCATTGTAGAGAGAGTTTGATTGGACAAAAATCTACCTATTGCAGGATGAGTCATCAATATTTCCTCTGTTTACCATGGAAGAGAAACGCTGTCATTTTTAATGTTTATATCTGGTCAAAGTGAAATTTGTCAATATTTGATGTAAGACCTCAAAGCAAACATGAACTAATAGTTACAGCAAAACCTTTTCCAAATATTTTTGGCATGTTGTACTATATTTTATTATTCTCAATAGACGTTCATCTAACACCCTTTTATCAGTTTAGAATGGATGACTTCTGTTCTGTGTAAGCCTGGAAAGTAAATATTTTGCCTTTACAACATAACAGCATGTAACATTGTCAATGAGAGATTGTCTAATCACACACACTTACTCTGTAAGTGACATCTGTGATCTCTCTAATGGATTTTGCACTTTGGACACCAAGAATCCCTCACATATTTACAGACGACTGAGAGGGAAACAGCAGTGTGTGCAGACTGTAAATTCACCATGTTCCATCCACAGAATATTGTTGCTTTCTTAATACTCGTTGTCTCCATTTGTCAAGCTCAAGCTGGTGAGTGATTTTTGTCTTTTTTTGTTAGTGTGAGCTTTTCAATGTACTACATTTTATTGTGATTTAGCTCACTAAATCTATTCAGTGTAAAACCTCATTTGATTTAATATTTAAAAGCTGTATAGGAAAAACCTTATACCTTATGGACAAAAAAGCTTTAAGTGATACAATGTAACTCAGGTGGACAACGGGACACGTCAGACACATCTAAGGTCACACTACAGCCGTGGCTGGTGGGACTGGCAGCTGTTGTTGGGTTCCTCTTTATCGTCTTCGTCCTCCTCATTGTGCAAAGACTCTTTTTCAAGAAAGACAAGTGAGTTGTGACCTGAAATGGTTCAGGAAAATATTTATACTGTACACGAGTCATGATGAAAAAAAGCTACATAGATCATATTATACCTGATTCTTCTTTATATGTAACGTTTGACAATACAGTCCGTTTTGTGTCATTTAAAAGGAAATGCTTGATACTCATTTTAGAGGTTTAAAATGGCGATAATCTTCTGGCAGTTACAAACATTTGTTTAGTTATTGAATAACATGATGGTGATGAGGAGTTTATGGTTTTCGAAATTATTTTATGACTGTACATTTACAGTCAAGGCCACATTCAGACAACTGATAGACAAGACCAGCCATGACACACCTAAAGCCATAGGCTAATAAACTAATACATAACATTTCTAAACGTCAATGTACAGCGTACATGTTGACTATTTTTATATTTTTAAAAAGTATTTCATTATTGTGTATCTCCCCTTACAGAGACGAGTTTGAGGAAAAAGAAGAAAAGCATCAATTTTACGACAACCTCGCGGCTGATGTGGAGGCAAATGAGGAGACCAAGCAGACCAGTTTCTGAGAACAACCGATGATCACAGTCCTGCGGGACAAAATCTGCCAATCTCTGGAAATTATGCCATAACACCGTGAAGAGTAATTCTTACATAATTTGTAATGTATCATATCATTATAACTTAAACGTTTTGTTTTTATGTCTTCGTAAGAGTCGTTCCTTACATCATCCACTAGATGGAGCAGCCTTCACTTACTCACAGATTTGGCCTAGAGTTAAAATAAAAGGGTTAAAATAAAGTGGTGCCCTACAGTCTTTTTTTTCCTGGTCATATTCCCAAAGTTTTTCTAGTATGGTGCAACTCTAACTGAAATTCCTAAATCTGAAACATTCATTAGAGTAGAGAAACCAGATTTTCAGTGTGTCACGTGGTGCACATGATGCTCCGATTAACTGGCTTTTGACTCGAATGACAGTTCTGGGTTGGTTGGGCATGTATGCTAAATGGACACGGGTATGAGATCCATTACTCATTTTGAGTGGCAGTTTGGACATGTTAAATGTTTCCAGTGAAATGATGTAACACAGTTTTGCTTTTGGAACCGTTTGCTCATCCCGGGGGATTATGCGATGAAAATATCATTTGCTGAAAAAAAAAAGGCCAGGTGTTCAATTGTGTTAATGGTGGGGGACCATTATACTTGTGTTTAAAGACCTTGGCCTAAAAATAACATATCTAAAAATATCTAAAATAACAACATATTCTTTTTTTATATGGATATGGTGACGACTTTAATGCTTATGATTACATAAAAGGTCATCTTCAGGTTAAAGGGGAACTCTTGCAGTGAGTTTACACTAAAGGCTTATTTAATGTGAACTTTATATCATTTTAATTAAAATTTAACTCTTAATAGGCAGCTGATACTGTTGTCCTGAGCATATTTCTCAAGGTTTCCCATACATGGGAAACAGTTTAGCAGAAACCGTGCTGATGAGTGACAGTAACTAAGCCTACAGCCAGCAGCAATAAGTGAAGCTTTAAACCATAGCGAGAGAGAAAGACAGACTTCAGTTCAGTCTCCTCTTTAAAGTCTCATTCTCATTTCACTGCTGCCTTGAATTTTTTATTTTTTTTTTATTCTGGCTCCTGAGCGACGTCATCTTTGGTCCATTACTTGGGAGCCGGTGACAGATGAATTATTCTTTCTTTTCTAGTATTCATTACTGCGAAGTTAAATGACAAAACCTCAAATATAAAAATAATCTGGAAGCCAAAGGGTAAGAGATACTGATGAAACAACCTTCGGTGAATCAGATGAGCTCTGCCGAACTACTTTCAGTATTTTCTTTTTTCCTGAATCAAAAAACCTAATTTAACACTAACCCTTCAATAGTTTTAGGCCAGTGATTTTTAAAATGCCTTTGAAAGAGAGCTCTAATGCTCACCGAGGCTGCTTAGATCAAAAATACAGTAAAAAAAACAGCAATATTGTTCATATTTTTATGACCCTGTACATCAATGATTATTTTAATAGTTTTGTATAAATGTATTAAGTATGTAAATGTTGCTTACGAACAATGGTGCAAGCAACACCAAGGTCGGTTTGATTCCCATGGAATGCATGAACTGATAAAATAAACTATAGTGTGAATGCAAAGTAAGTTTCTTTGAAAAAATACCCCATCTGCCATATGCAAGGAAAAATGTAATATACAATGCAAAAAAAAAAAACCTCTCACATACACTTGTGCCTGCGAGAAGCAAACAGTAGTGGTCACGTTCATACTGCACAGGCACGCTCTCAATCCCAGTGTCTCTGTATAGCGGAGTGACCTGATTGTGATCGTGTTGCAGAGAAGGGAGTCCTCGGGGAGTTGCAGTCCTTTGTTAAGACATCTGGAGCCCATTACTGCCGCATGCTTTTACAAGGACTTCACATCGCGTACTGTAAATCGAGATATTAAACTCATAAGCACAGAGAGAAACTAAGGAGAGAGAAATCACTTTGAACTTTCAAGTCTAAATAGATAAAAATCAAAACAACCACAATTCCACCTTCTGCAGCTCTCAATGTGCAGGACAAAGAGTAGACCACCCTCACCCTGTACCTGTACCTGTAATATCAGTGCATGTTATAAGGCCAGATCCATTTAAAAACACTTGTTTTATTTTTTTAAATATTATAAATATGTAAAAAGTAAATCTAAAATTTCTGTTTGAGTACTAATAGACTGGGCATTGATAATACATTTAAAATGAATATATTAATAATTCAAATGTTACCAGACATGATTTATTTATTTAAAAGCAATATTCTGTAATATATATATATATATATATATATATATATATATATACATTGATGCAAATGCAGTAGAAAAAAATAAAATAATAAACGCAGTAGATAACCATATTAAATGAAAACATTTTAGAAAAATCTATATACATAACCTTATTTTTCTACTGAGAGCAAAGCATGCAACCGTACTTTAGTTCTTGGAAGCAAGGACAGCGTCTAGGTGTTTGTTAAAAGTATATCTCAGCAAAAGTACTTCCAACATCTTATTGTTATAAACTTGTAACCAAAAAACGAAAAAAAATTCACCGGGAGTATTCAATCACGTCCAAACGAGAAAAAAGTTGCTGGCTGCGGTTCACTTAACAGCCACAAAGGTTTCTGAATTCTACATATAGCCCCTATAAACTTTACTTTGCCATCAACTTCGTAACAGTGAATCGCCCTGTGGAACCTATTAACATGTTTACAATGATAGCATGTTTACAGAAAAGCACATTTGTTTTCCTCTATATACACCCCTGACCTCAATTTTATAGTTTAGACTAGAGGCCCTGTGTTGGTGCGCATGGCAGTGTTGGTGTCCTCATCGTTCGGCCAACATCAGCTCAGCCAGTAACTAAAATGTTTCTTTAGAGACTCGTGAATCAAGCTAGGTTTCCTCTTGCTTGAGAGCTGCAGTTCAGGCAACTCCCGAGGCCATGCTGTTTTCTTTGGAGTGGAGAACTGTAGTTTCAGACCGATCTGGGAGAAGTCTGGCCCAGGCTTCGGGGAGTTGGGCTGTTAGCGGCTCACTCTATGAGTAAAGGTCATAAAAAAGTGTCACACCGGGCACCACATCAAGGCTCTTTTGCTCACAGCCACTAGCTTTTGAAGCTTTTATGCGAATGTCTTTCTGAGTGAATCACTGATTCATTTACTCAACCGATTCACTGATTCATGCAGAAAAAAAAAAACAATCGACTAAGCCTACTCTATTATTGAGTCATGGATTCATTCACTCAGCCGAATCATTTAAAAACGCTGATTCATTCATAAACATTGATTTGCACTCGTACTTAAATTATTTTCTTTGGCGAGAAGTGTCTAAAATTTAAGTTACTTAGTATCGAGTTCTGTTTATCAAACTGTTATAGAATATCACACACTGTATATGAGTCAGATGTCTATGAGTTGGTTTTCGAACACAGGTTTGTCATTTGCTGTCCAAAAGCTAGCGTTTCATTGCAACACTGAAGTTGAACAGGTACCTCTGGTTAGTGTCTGTTATGGAATTTGACTCCCATTCTGCAGTGAGCTCATGAGGGGCTCCTGGCGAGGTTCACTTGAAGCTTTCGACAAGTGCTATTGCACTCGTTCACCCCCTTCATATGTTTAAAGAAAAAGGACCTTGAGCTGGCTTGTGCTATTTTGAACCATTAAAATGAAATAAAACTTGACTTCCTTTCCAGAGCTGAAATTATACTTTTCCAAAAGCGGCTCCAACAATCTTGTATCTGGGGTAAATGGATTGAGGGATGATTAGAGTCAGGTGTGTTACGCTCCTCGGCCAAGTTGAACTGAAAACAAACCTCTAACCGCAAGCGTTCAGTTTGCTCTTTCATTCTCTCTTCCAAATCTCCTGTTTTATGCAGCTCGTACTCACGGAATTAAAACTGTCATTTAAAATGTTTGGTGATCCAAAGTTTGTTCCGCCTTGAAATGAGTCATCCTCTGCCATTGAGTGTCGGTTACAGTGACACAGCTTATTAAATAAGATTTGGCATGAAAAATATGTCTAAAGCAAGTAGAGTATGCTGATATTAGTATGTGCTTACTAATTTATCTTATATTCAGTTGAATTCACCAAAATATATTACCCAAAATGTTACTCGCCATTTGCAGAGCGATATACAATATGTCATGCCACGTCTTGGAAACATCTTTCCCTTTTCTGGCTCTGCAATGGTGATGCCGAAAGAGCTTCAGCAGCTGAGCTAAAATTAGCTTGTCCTGAGGCACAAGGGCTGTATTCGCCTGGGTCCACGTTGAGGGATGATCTACAAATGAACAGCGAATAGGTATACATCCAACACACACAAAGCAATGACTCCAAAACACTGATAATCAAGCCCAATCTACATACACATTCAAAACATGCCAAGAAACTTCAGCAGACCGTGCGTCTAATCGGTTGGAAAAGAAAAACACAAAGTCACCTCAATTCTGAGTTGTAGCATAGCTTTGTTTATTTTTTATTTAATTTTAATTTTATTTATTTTTTTGCATAGGGAAACATACTCACTTCCAGTACTGTATTCATGAGCGGTTTTCTTTTTTTTGCGAACAGCGATGGCTGAATACAATGTTATAATGAAATATTGTTAAAGCTGTAATTTCCCCCTCACACCAGTTCAAAAACACATGGCAAATTTAGTTTGTTGTGCATGAGAAAAACAAAAAGTCTTTTCCCATTCGTTTCAAAACCGACATACCGACTTTTGCTGATAGATTACAATTTAGCGAGGTTCTTGGAGAAACAAAGACGAATAACAAAAATCCAATGCTTTCCAAAAGAACATGGAAGCATGTCAAGTTGTGAATGTGTCTGAACTAAATGTCCACATGCCCCTTCCTGGTGTGAAGTGTGTTTATCTGTGCAGCAAGCAAGCGTTTAATGAGTAACTACTATGGTAATATTTGTAAAGAATAATGTGATTAAAAAAAAGAGGAAGGAAAAACTAACAAAAACCTTGAAATTTAACACTGCATTAGAATGCTCTCTGAAAAAACATTTCAATCTTTCTCCTTTCAACTCAAAGCGTCCAAAGATAGAGAAAACAGCATGCTTAAAAACAAACAAAACAACAACAACAACAATAGAAATATTTATAGAAATTAAACCATAATTCATTTAAAACAAAACAATTGTTCTAATGGGGGAGAGTGCACCCTGAAATGTTGATGCGTGATTGTTTTGTGGGGTCTCAAAAATTCAGGAGTAGGCGGTACGTCAGAGTGTTTTTGGCAATTCATTTGTAAATGACTTATCAAAATATTGCATAAATTGCAAAGCCCACAAATGGCTTTTCTATCCTATGAACAGAGACATGACTTGATAGGTATTCTTCACCCCGTTTGAGCCATTTCAACCTTAGGGCCAGATTTAGTAAAGCCCTTAACACACGCTAACATTCTTAGCATCGTTAGCATCGACTGTACCAACCTCGAACATTAGTTGAGGTCAATATGTTGCAGCACTCGGAGGTTGTGTTATTGAGAGGCTTTGGCAAATCTGACCCCTTGGTTGGACAACAGCGTACAAAAAACGTTTGATAAACAAAAGCTGTATCCAATCAAGGCCAACACTGCCGAGATGATGTCAGCAATACAGCGAAAACCCACATAACAGCTCACGGTTTACAAAGAACACATGGGTGAGGAAAAGAAACCAGAGAAAAAAACGATACATGACAGGCACTGCATGTTAAAATTGTGTTTTTAACCCATTTTGGCATTTATACCAATGTATATACCTTAGATTTGAATTGCTGGTTTGCTAGGAGTGAAAAAGGGAGCGTAGAAATAATTAGCCATTCTACAGTTAAGGATGGGTCTTCATTCATATTTATCTGCTATAGAACTGTACACTAAAACCCTCCATCACCCCCACAGCTCAATCAGCAACACGAGTATGTTTGAGTGCTTGAATTGCATACTTTGAATGGGAAAATGTCAGTATAATCAATGACCTCGCATGTCTGAACATCTTGGGGGTGACCGTTTTAGACCTGGGCAAAGAAGAATTATATAATGCTGCATTCATGTCATGTCAGAATTACAGCACTAATACATATTATATACAATATACTACAGTTCAAAAGTTTGGGCTTGGTACGTTTTTAACTTAAAGGGATACTTCACTTTTTTTGGAAATAGACTCATTTTACAACTCCCTCAGAGTTAAAACAGTTGAGTTTTCCCATTGACTTCCATAGTAGGAAAAAAATATATATACTATGTAAGTCAATGGGACCAGAAACTGTCTGGTTACTGATATTCTTCTAAATATCAGAAAATCGGCTGAATGGATTCGAAAACGGTAAAACCAAACTGTTTAACTCTGGGGGAGTTGTAAAATGAGCCTATTTCCAAAAAAAAAAGAAAAAAAGTGGACTATCCCTTTAAGCCTCTTTTAAATGCGAAGTATTTCTTTTAAATGCGAAAAATACAGTAAAAACTGCTTTCTGTTTAATATAGTTTAAAATGTTTTTTTTTTTTATATATAATGGCAAAGCTGAATTTTCAGAAATTATTCAATCAACTACATTTTTTGTGGAAGAAAGGATACATTTTTTCCAGGATTCTTTGATGAATAGAAAGTTTAAAAGAACAGCATTTATTTGAAATGGAATTATAAATGTTTTTACTGTCACTTTTGATCAGTTTAATGCATCTTTACGGAATAAATGTATTCATTTCTTAAAGAAAATTCCAACTGACCCCAAACTTTTGAACAAGTGTGTGAACAATATGACTTTAGTTCTCTCTCTCACTCTCTCTTTATATATATATATATATATATGAAAGAGCAAAAAGAGGTGGGTTAATGTAGTGATTTTGTGAACATCTTGAAATCTCATTATGCTAATTCTGACCAGATGTAAACGCAGCATTAGTTTCACTATACTACAGAGGACAATAATAGTAGGTTTAGCCTAGCTTGGATGGCTTTACACACATTGAAACTGTCCTTAATATTAGCAAGAACTTTCAGCACAAAGATTTCAGTAAAGCCAAGATTAGTTGCATAGATGCTGTACAATTTCCAGATCATTTAAAAACCTTTAGTGTATTACTGCTAGTCTGATTTCAAACCAAAAAGCTTGATCGAGCTGTCATTATGGGATCCAAACCAGTGCAGACAGACATAACTGCACATCATCCAATTCAGATTCACCAGTCACTGCCAGTCTCAATCATGGACAAGAACTGTGACACGCATCCTGCCAAGTGTCACGACATTGAAAATGGAAGGAAGGAAAGAGTAGAAACTGCATTCCAGTGCCTCAGCCCTGAAGAGGATGTCCAGCCCTTACTGAGAGGAGACAAAACAAAGATCTGACCACGTTCACGTTTCTATCTACCTCGACCGTGCAAAGCTCGTGGTATTGCGAGGTTTACATTACGCAGACCGCAAAAGGAAACCGTAAGAGTGAAACACTCATGCACGTCTAATTCTCTCACGTATGCCTGAGTAGGGTCTCCTCACATCCTGTTTATGTCCGTGGGTGAACAGGGAAATTGGGCCTTGGAAATTTACATTCTGTTCAGCATAATTACATGTGTCAATGACTAATTAAAGTGCCTGGCCCTCGGAATTAAACAATCTTTTCAGCGACGCACATTCCAGACGTGAGTAGGTTGATCTTACAAAAACAGGGGAAGATCACACAGCGTAAACCCCCATCCAACAGCTCTATGCTGAATCCAGGAAGGCACTCAGAAGAGTGAGGTCTAAAATCCTGCGAGTTATGCCTGCTCCATGAAACTATCAATGGGTTGATTGATTGTCCACAGGTGATTTAAGAAATTACCTTACGTTAAAGAAAAGAAGTATCTTACGGCTGCATTTATTTAAACATTTAAACATATTCCTGTGATGGAAAAGCTGAATTTTACCTTTAGAAATCATTCTAATATGCTGATTTGGTGCTCAAGAAACATTTCTTATTATCAATGTTGCAGCTCAATAGTTTTGTGGAAACTGCGATACTTTTTCTCAGGATTCTGTGATAAATGGATGCTGTTTCAATTTGTTTTTTTTTTCCAATTTAATGCATGAATACAAGTGGGCAAGACAAATTCACTTAATTCAAGATATTTTCTCTTAATATTTGCTTGATTCTTATGTAAATGTATTTTGTTACGGATGTTTAGATGTTTAATGTAAAAACACAAAGTACTGATTTCAAAAATGATTGTTGTAGCATCTTAAAAGGGTAAATTTCATCATCTTAAAAGGGTAAATTTTTCACATAAATGACAACAGCTAAATAAAAGGGTGCCATTCAAGCAGCTCTATCTCTCTATCTTCATCACGGCACGTTATCAAAGCTGAGAAATATTCCTAGAGAAACAAACCTTAAAAAGAAGTATTATTATTAAAACCAGAAAATCTAGTGCAATATTCCAAGTAGAAGTACAGTAAAATGTGTTTAAAGATCTTGAAGCTTGCATGGCAGAAGAGAAAAAATAAGTGCAGAGGTTTAAAATAAGTCTTGAGTATAACAACAACAAAAAAAGGCAATGGAACCAGGATAAACTTCTCAAAGCTCGGTGAAGCTGTTGGCTCGGTTTAAAATGACGACAAGTGATGCTGAATTTACTAAAGTTGTGATCAAAATAACACTTGATAACTGTGAAAGGTGTGTGCTTATGGCGCTGACATTATATTCTCAACAGCAGATCCTTTAGAAGGAGCTTTCAAATTTTTTGTGTGGCTTGACCACAAGCTTATGACTAATAAACCTAAACGAACAAACAAAAAAACATTTTCTCTTAGAAAAAGACATTTTTAATATACATTTCGCCTCATTCTACCGGAAATATGGTAAGCATTATACACAAGATAACTGTGTTCAAAATGTAACATTTCAACAAGCATAAAAATGATAATCATTGCTCTATAAAAAGGGTTTCGAAATCAAACATTAAGATAATGTTTTTTTCTAAATGCATCAGCTCGAATGCATTATTCACGTCATAGCAAGTTCAATCATCACCTGTGGCCACTTTAAAAAGCACACACTGGGGTAACAACCTGCTCTTGAAGTGTTTCGATCTCTCGGCCGTGTGTAGCCAATGTTAGCCAATACAAAAAGCAAACGAAGAAGACTCATGCACGCAGAGTGCTGGCGAAACCACCTTCAGACCCCTGTTTATACTGAGCCCAGCTCATTGCACCCTGGCCAAAGGGTTGACAGCTTTAAAAAGATGAAAATGGAGCAGTGCAAATCTTCACGGGACAGGCGGCGGGCCATGCGAGTCTGTACCGGAGAGACGCCGTGAGCGCTTCAGCTCATTTAAAACGAAGAAGTTTGCCAATTTTGCTTCAATACGGGTTTGGAATAAACAAAAAACAGCACCCCACGCTTCGAGGCAGACCCCTGTCCCATCGCCTGTCCTGTTAAACACAAGAAAAATTGCTTGCTTGATGAAGCTAGCACTTCTGCAAAAGTTTGGATCATGGTAAAGATGGAATGCCGTTTGGCTTCAGCACTCCGATTTGGCCAGGGTGGACAACGGCAGACTCAACAAATCATCCACGATCAAGATCTTACCAAAGGCATCATGTAAACAAAAGCTCTCGTTCTTTCTCGTTCGACTGAAACTTTTAAATAGCTACCAGCAAATCGTATTAGCTACCAGCGTTGCAATATCCATTGCAGAAACAATACTGTACACTCACTGCATCACAAACTACAACTTAGCCTCTCCCGACCCAGCTCCAGAAATACACAATATCTTCTCCTCCGCAATATACTCCCCTGACACTACATGCTACAAATTATAAATTATCTCCTACCATCTAATTTTATAAAAAGAAGAAAAAACATCCTGGTGTATTCATTCATTTTCTAAGACACAAAGTCAGCAGTTCTTGTGTCTGTATGTTGAATTGGACAAAATACATTTCAGCTACTCTCTGTGAATGGGTTCTACAATCAACACATGGACATATACAAGGGACTCGATTGGTAAAACAACTTAATCACTAATTACAGAAATCATTAAACATTACTACAAAAAGTGGTTAAATGGACAGTTCACATTTTGTCATTAATTATTCGCCCTCGTGTTTTTCTAAACCTTTATGATTTATTTTTTACGCAAATTGAAAAGTCAATGGGGTCTAAAATATCTATCAAAATATCTTGTTTTGTGGTTTGTGTAAAGTCATGGAACTACACGGGGGCGAATAAATAATGACTACATTTTTGTGTACTTCCTTTTGTGGTGAACTATCCCTTTAACAATGTGTAGGTTTTCAGAAATAATGAAATGTAAATTTGACCCTTTGACAAAAAAGCAAACATCATGCTGTGGAGTCAAGTCTTGTTGATTGCAAAATAATTTGCTAAGTGCTTAGTTGCAGAATTTAAAACTAACCAAAAATAGTTGATGGGTTTATAGAGGATGGCCATCTAGTTTTAATCTCTGGCCTCTCCTCTTCACATCCATAATGGGTACAAACTCATTTAAATACACGATAACATACAATCCAAACAATTTAAGACAAGCCTAACATGAAAGGGAATCAAAAGATCAGCTCAGAGCTGATATGGGGAGAGCTGGTACCGCATCTTTCACAGATTTTGTTACTTTCTCATTATATGAAAAATAGAGTGAAATAATGGTAACAAAACAATGCAAGGAAGATTTGCCAACTACGGTGGTTTTAAAAGAGGAAGAAGGTAAAAAAAAAAAACAAGCTTCTCTCACCCATCCAAAACTACAGCTATCAGGTAACCTGTTAGTCTTAATCTGATTACGACAGGCAATCAAACATGCAGCATTTTTTTCATTGGTGACACCTGGTTACATAAAAAAGAAAAAAAAAAAGAAAACAAATTCACCTCCTTTGAAATTACGCATTATCGTTCTTAACTAAAGGCAAGGCACATAATATGTTTATAAAATATCGTGCAAAGTAGAAGAGGGATCATAGGATAAAAGTCAAAACCAATGTGGTACAAAGGTAAAATCCATCTGTGTCATTGGCTCTTTGCTCAAGGGGGGTCATTAAGGAGAAGTCGGGGAGCATTTAGCTTTAGAGCTAATACTAAGATTATCTGCCATGCGCCCATGTCAGCGATAAGGTGGTCATTTGAGCTTAATTCTCATGATTTTTCTTTTGAAAGCACCATGCACAGTTATATATAACTCATATATAGAGATTTCCATATAATTTTCATATCAGCACCATTAAAACAAGTCATGTTGTATGTATTCTGGGTCTATGGTCAACTCAACAGAATGTCTTTGCAAAGCCATTATAAAAGGTTAGCAAAAGCAACCAGAGTGTGTGGATATTATTTCATATTGGTGTGTGTATTTGTAAGGGTACCTAGTTAATCTCTGATATGTGTTGATTTTGTCATGTTCCGGCAGAATATTAGGGTGTGTGTGTGTTTTGTTCAGCCATCTGGGTTTCCTGTGGCTAAGCGTTAGCCCATGCAGCTGATGAGGGGCTTGGGGGCTTGCTAGGCCCTTTAAAATATCTCTCTGGGCATAAAAACAACCCCTTGAACTTCTACAGCAACAACAACCCACAGTAGATGAAGCAAAACATCCAAGTCTTTTAAAAAAAGAGGAAGATTTTAAAATGAAATTCTCGCAATGTCTCAGGCACTTTTCATGGCTTCTTGATTTGGGTTCGGTAGCGTTGTAGATTAAGCCCTGATGTTATTTCATTAGTACAAATCAACACATCTCAGAGTGCAGAACAACCCATTTCTGAGGCAACCAGCCAGAGAGACATGCTGGTCGTAAGGCTCCCAATGAACTCTGGGAGCTCAGCCACTGACTGACCTCTTCGTATTGTCATCGTTGCGCATTACAACCTGTCTCACGTCAAACATCCAAATCATTGACATTCCTACGGATTAAAGTGTATAATATGCTTCAAAATAACAACAGTCATAGTTTTTTGAAATAGAAACATGGGGAAAAAGATAGCCTGTTTTGTTTTCTTCTTAAACTATGGGAATCGTATAAAAGCAATCACATAAACATGGAGACATTTACATAGAAAATGTAGGATTGCTCTGATCAGCCTTTTAGCTTCTGGGAAACCAAACCACATCTACCGTGAGATCAGAAAATGACAAAAATAATAGATTCGCAGCATTCCGTATGATTAGGCCGAACAGGAATTTGCAAAAGAGGAAAATTAAAAATTCAAAGTAGTGCAATGCCTGTAATTTCCAATAAATTTAAACAAGTTACACAGAGAGAAAACTTCTATCCTCTACACCCAATACTGTCTAAGTAATGACAGAACTATATTTCAACTCCCTTTGTCACTATGTGGAAAAAATCCACGTATCTACATGAATCAAAACCCCCTAATCTGTGAACTCACAGAGATGAATAAGGGACTACCATGTTTATGACGAGCACAAACACACGGACGCACACGCGCACACACACTTACAGCGGGCCCAGGGAATGAGGGGCTTTCATATTGCGAAGAGAGGAAGGTGCTAATTCACCCCTGCTATTCCCTGGCTCATCTTATGAAGGCTGCATTACAGCTCACACACACCTCGTGTAGCCTTTAACAGTACATGCCATTGCCTCTATATAGGTGTGTTTACATGTAATTGTGTGTGTGTGTGCGCATGTGTGTATACACGCTGACTGTGATGTATAATGTCACTGAGGTACCACTAATGTTCCTCCGATGTACAAAAAACATGATGGGCTTCCACCAAAAAGTGGACTCCGTTACAAACGGTGGAGAATGTAATTTAGAAAACGTCACCCTCTGAATTGAAACCAAGGACGCAGAAACATGATTGTCAATAAACTGGATGAAAAGGAGCCTTTTTGTTTCTTTTTCCACAATGCTGTGTGAACGGAAGCATCAATCTTTTTGTTTCCTTTTCCATGTCGTGTTGCCTTAAAAAAAGAATAAAAACAGGCCGTGCTCACCTCCAAACCTGTGGCGAAATGCTAGCGGAAAAACCCCTTCCTTGAGGTTTCTCGCCCCTGTTCGTTAAGAAAATAAAGGATACTTATTTTGCATATAGGAGGAAGCAGCACCTGTAGCAGAAGGAGGGGGGTTGAGGAGAGGCATTCCAAGAGGCAGGGAGTCAGGGTGGGCCTTTTCGACACAGTCCATCAATGTACGCCATAGTTTGGGCTGCCCTCCCAGAAAAAAACATCCTCCTGTCTTCTTTTCTGCCGTTCCATCTATGGCAATTTTCTCACGCCCTTCTCCATTTCCATTGTCTTTTTTCAACAAAAAAAAAAGTGTATTGAAGCATCTTATACTGTACGTTGTTATGCATATATAAATATGTGTGCACATATATCTATACACACATATTGTGTATATCTATATATGTGTGTGGGTGTGGGTGCGTGTGTATATATATACAAATACTGCATATATATCTGATTTTCCCTCTTGCATCTCGTTCACAACTTTTTTCTTGTAAATTCCACAAAAAAAGTGATTTTTCAAATCCATGTCTGTGCCTCCTCGGGTTCGTCTGTGTGTGTGAGAATCAGTTCCCCAGATACCAGGACTGCAAGAGAGAGAGAGAAAGAGAGAGAATCAAAATGACTAAGACATCTGTACAAGCACATGTAAGTAACACAATAGGAGGAGTGCTATGGGATATCCACCTAAATCAGATAACAGCTCATCTGAACGTGACCGCAGTCTAGTTGAGATGGATCCATTTCATCAAAACTGAACGCACACTGTGATTTCTATGGGTTTCATCAACTATGGGTACTTTTGGCTCTCTTAAAAAACTCTTTTCATACCAGTTGATTTATTTTTTTCTACTAACAATGTCCAATGAGGACAATTCTGGCATTTTTCTGAAACCTCAAACATTTTCACCACAATGTCATTTCCATCACATCTCAAATGATGTATTGGTGTTGAATAGCATTCCGGTTTAAATTACCCATTTTTCATGGACACATTTCATGTATCCAAATGCATTTGATAATATTATTTATTCTGTTCATGATTGATATGTACACTACTGTTCAAAAGACTGGGGTCAGTAAATTGATCAAAAATGACAGAGAAGAATTTTTAAGTACCTTTCTATTTCTAATAATTGCTGTTCTTTTAGACATCAAATATATTACTGTTTACACAAAAATAATAAAAAGCACATTGCTAATAGTAAGAAATGTTTCTTTATAAGCAAATCAGCATATATAAGCATACAGACACACATACCCTGCTAGTGTGTGAGGTGTGTGTGTGGGTTTAGGTTTTAAAGGTGGTGGTGGTGACAGTAGGTGGTACATGTTTCCTGTCCGTAAGGACCTAAATAATGCAAATCATTGCCATCCAAAGCAGAACCAAATAAGAACAAATCAGTCTTTTTTTGATAATATGCAGCAAATACTTAGCCTGGGACCAAAATTGAGGAACCTATTAAAACTAATACAGAGTAAAAAGCTTTGAGTTTGAGAAAGAGAGAGAGAAAGCGCTCAGCAGAATCCCACCCAAACCTTTTAAAAGCATAACAGGATTTTGGCTTTCATTCACAAACCGCTGAAGTCTTTTTAAAATTTGACAAGGTTTAAAAACAGAAGGAAGGAGTTCATGCCGTAAGCCCCTGGCTCTATATTTTCCACTAAGGTTTAAGTAATTTCACATCAGTCCAACAGACGTCTTTAACTACCCCCAAATGTATTGATTTAATAATGCTAAAAAAGGAAAATTTGTTCCTATTCCCTGCTGAAAAGTTTGTATACATCAGACTGATGGCTTGATTCTTGAACAGCATCAAACCACAGACTAATGACTCCCCAAATCCACAATACAGTGCCCAGATAATAGCGTACAACCATGAGAATCTAAGTTAAAATAGTTTGACACATTTATGTATTAAAAACAGCAGTGGCGCCAAGGAATTTTGGCAGCTCTTGCTCATTGATTAATGAAAAGGGCAGTATCACAATCCATCCACATGTACGAACAGGAATCTAAAATGCCATAATACAAGTTATTAAACTAATCATATCGTGCATCAATATCTTTTAATCAAATCAGTTTATTTTGACTTCTGTTAGCTAGCTAGCTGAGAATCATTTGATACTGCTATTGAAACTAGAGCTAAGGTTAACCTTACACAACCCATGACACTTAGAACCTATTGCCAGGAAGAGAAATACGTTTATAATGACAGCTGACACTGCTGGGAAACGCAAAGATGCTGTTTTCTGAGTGATTACTATAGTGAATTGGGATGCAATTTTCCCAAATCATATTTCGTGTTGATTACTGGATCAAATCCGTGCCCATGAGAGTGGGCACTGTGGGGATTGTGTGTGTTTTCGTGCTTCGTGAATTTGACAGCACAATTACAGCCACTCCTTTGTCAAAATTATACTCCAGAGGAAAATATATATATATATATATCCTAGAGCTTTGGATATCATCTTGGCTGTCAACAGGACATTTTACTATACTGAAAATGTCTCGATGAGATAAATCCACAATTCTCTTTCTCTAGAGTGGCAAGTTGAGAGATTTAATATGTTTCCAGTATATGTTATGGAAACTCAAACTTTGATATTTCAGCAGATATAATCTCCTGTCTCACCTCAAAAACGGATGGCCTGCTTAGTGTTTACATTTAAATATGATAAAAACAGCTTAAGAGAATATGTGTAGTTTCTGGTGTTATTGTTTGTATAATGTGGTGAAGACCGCCAGGAAATGGGGAGTCATTATCAAATTCATCTATCCAAATGTTGATACATGCAAACCAATGCAAAACCACTAAAAGACGTTAAAATAAGCAGATATTTTATATTACCCAACAGTACCATGCAATTACATACTATTTGCTTTCTTTGTGGACATTTTCAGTGGTCATTATCTTGGTAAGCTGAATCAGATCAAATTAATTAAGGCTGATTAGACGAAAAATAAACAAATGGGTTGAAGGAAGGATGGCATTAATCAAAAACAAAACAAAAGTATCTCAATGATATTAAAATAACACTTGATTAGCTAAACTGTGAGCATACCAATCTAAAAAATGCTGGGTTGTTTTAACCCAATTTTGGGTCAAATATGGACAAACCCAGCGACTGGGTCACATTTTTAAATTAAAATGTTAACCCAATGTTTGAGTTTGTCCATATTTGACCCACAATTGGCCAGCATTTTTTAGAGTGAACCACAACTTCTGTTATATTTATAACAATTTGACAAATATTCAGTTTTTAATATTAAAAACAGTTAACAAAAGCTATATAAATATTTAGACAAAATGCTTAAGGCCTGGTGTTAAAATATTTTTCCAAGTATAAAATCTGGAGTGTAACCATTCCAGCTTTGTCTCATCACATGGGTTTGAGTCCACCATTCCAGGCCATTCTTCTTTTTACCAGCTGCCTGATATTTTCATTTTGCACTAGGGCACATCCAAAGCTGAAACTTTCTCACCGAAACAGTCTGTCTTGAGAACACAACAACCAGTAGAGCCCAGGCTAACAGTGGTTAGGCGTTCACTCCAAACAAAATATTTAGTTCCCTATAAAAGCTACAGGCTTTGTCTTGGTGACAGGTGGTTTAGGTTATGAAAATATAAAGCTGAGACGAGGGCGGGTTCACAGTCCAAGTAGGGGGACATATTAGACCACAAGGGCCTAACAAATGACAGTCTCTCCCTTTAATTACAATGCTTTGGGAGAGCTTGGAGGTGAGGCTGAAATACAAGCTCCTCTAAAAACAAAGATTGTTAGTAAAATACCCTTTTCATCAGAGAAAAGAAAACAACAGAAGTCCATTAAACTCAGAGTTTAATACAAACACAGATCGAGAGAGAAAAGATGAGGGAAGAAAGAAATAAACGTGTATATTTTTTGCACTATGAAGTGTCACTTTTCAGTGTTAAATATTTTTTAGTCAGATCAGGTACAAATACCTAAAGATAGCTTACAGAGAAAGTCCGAATGCAGCTACAACAACTGTACTCACTTTTTACAGTGAAAGAAAGAAAAAGACAACTGTGTTTTGTCAAACTAGGCCTGGACAGTCAGTGATTCCCTGGGCAGTCCTTGTGTTAGTCTCGGTCGTGCAAGACAGATTGGTCAATTTGATTGGTCTGCAGTGGACTCTTCCTTTTGCTCTCCCTCAAGCACAGGTTCATCCGATTCCGCCAATTACATCATGTCTGGTTTCCCCTAGCAACCAGACAGCCCTGGATGTGACCATCTCGGAGCAATTGAACAGAACCTCCTTTCCCCCATTTGTTCATTTGACGGCTTCTTTCCCCTCCCTCTTAGCTCATGATACAAAGACACAAACACACATCTAGCTGAGAGCCAGAAAAGTTCAGACTTTCTCTAGTGCACAACTTGCATGAAAAACAACTGCAATAAACGGCTGAAGGTTTTCAAATAATGACTTCAAATACGTATTAACCCACACTAGTCTTCCATTATTCATTGATCACTGTTCTGTCCCTCTCTCTTTCTCTCATCACATGGCTCAGTCAAGTGCATTTACACTTTTTTTTATGGATCTGAAAGCACTGCAATGCAGTATTGCGCTCAGACTCGTGAGCCATGCAGTTCAATCACCTCCACAGTTCAGATTTTACCTGAGCACTGCTGCATTCCCCAGCCAAATCAAACGTAACTGCAGCTGTAACTTAAGGAAGACCTTTCAAGAGTTTATTTATTAGGGGCTGATGTCCCCTAGGATTTGTGAAGCATCACAAAAATGTCAGATGCTATTTTGCGCCTTTTAAAATAAGGTCAGGATTTTGCTGAGCATGCAAAAGTTAACATGTCATTGATAAATATGAAGGCTGAATGCATTATATATAGTGCACTGCACACATTTTTTAATAAAAAATAAATAATAATAATGGCATTCCAGAATATAGACATATTGTGGCCATGAATAAAGAATTCGGTCCCATGACTTATTCCTTTTTCTCCCCCTTGTTTTAGTAAATCATGGCCACGATTTAGTAAGATGAGGGAATTAATGATTGTAACTTGTGCACGATTTACTTAAGTCGAGAGAACGAATTAGTAAAACATGCTGACATAATAGTAAGTCGTGGGAAAGTATTGTTAATTTGTGGCCATGAAATGGGGCTTCGTAATTTTCTTTCTTTCAATACAAATATTAAAACAATTTAAATAATAATAAAAAAGTACACAATAATTTACTTTAGAAGCATAAAAGGCTTAAAAATACATTTTTATGCTTAAAAAAATAGATAAATGATTTTTTTTAAAACAATTTTTAAACACAATTTTGTAAGCTCTATATTTTATTTAGGGCTGTCAAACGATTAATCGCGATTAATCGCATCCAAAATAAAAGTTTGTGTTTACATAATATATGTGGGTGCACTGTGTATAATTATTTTGTATATATATAAATACACACACATGCATGTATATTTAGGAAAAAAATATTATTTATATATAAAATATTTATATTTATATATAATATAAATTATATATAAATCTATATACAGTATATACATGAAAATATTTCTTAAATATATACAAGCATGTGTGTGTATTTATAAATATAAAATAATTATACACAGTGCACCCACATATATTATGTAAACACAAACTTTTATTTTGGATGCGATTAAACACGATTAATCATTTGACAGCCCTAATTTTATTTTCTCACCTAAAACAAGACAAGAAAAAATACTGATGAGTAATTTTTCAGACAACCTATGAATTGACCATCTATTGGTTAAGGTGTTGAATCGACATTGGCTGCCTCTATATTTAATGTGAAAGACCACATTTCGTTCGGCAGCAGAGTGTCTAGCTGTAGTTACTGTATCTGCTAATTTCTGATCTATAATTGAACACAGAAGGGTTGGGTCTCTCAGAGGGTCCAGACTAGAGCTGTAGTAGTGTTTCCTCAGGGCACTGAGGTTCAAGGGAATTTTTCAAGTTCTGCTTGAAATCAAGATTGAATTTTCAACATTTTCAAGGTGCTTAGGTTTCTGAAAGTTACCAAGAAAAAGTCAAAGTTTCCAATAGTTAAAATGCTGTTATTTAGTTGTCTATAATTAGCATTACAATTTCCTCTGAGGTGTGTGTTTGTATGTTTGAGAGTGGATTTGTGTGTGAATAAATGTATTGAGATACCTGTGCCTGATACAGACTGCCAGGGTCTCGAGAACCAATTCCTACGAAGGAGCGGTTGGCAGGTGGCGTCCCGGGAGCAGAATATGCTGAAAGAGAGGAAGAAATTTGTGATTAAGAGTAGAACAGAGAAAGTGGCGAGTGTCAAAAATGCTCATGCAAATCACAAACAGTGATATCAGTTTCAAGTATCTTTAAATTTAAATCACACAGGTGATTTATTCAATTCAGATCTCAGATACAGTTTGAGTGTGTATAGCGTGCATCTGTTTCACACAGACATTGAATTGATGCTGTAATTGGGCCAGTTTATATCTTCGTTACCGTCAGACTGTGTAAATAAATATTTTGTCTAGCGGAGGCTGATTCTGTTGTGCGTTTATGTAAATGTAGTCGGTTGTTAGTGAATGTGCGCCTTCATCTCTTGAAGACTATATTATCAGCAATTACAAAAGCAGATGTGCTTTCTTATGCCTCTTTGGAAATTCTACCAGCATGTCTTTTAGGTAAATAGGGAACACAACATAACAATCAAAGCATCAATCTTTATCAAATGGGTCTTTGGATAATTACGGCACATGATTTTAGCTGAATAATCATGCCGAGCATTGAGTCTGACAGTGTGAGATGGCGTATCGAGGCGATTGATCATCGGGATTCTGCAGCACAGCGGATGGTGAACATATTGAGCTGTTCTGTGCATTAATAATTAAATTAGCATGATTAATGGACAGGGCAGCAAGCACTGGCCCATTAAAGCTGATCGACTTGTCATCCAAATGTATCTTTTTATACAGTTTACTGATGAAAAGATGCTTGGTGTGTTTCTCTCACACTGAAATCAACATATTCGGAATTTGAAATGGTTTTAAAATATATATTAATGTGCTTGGTAACTGTAAAAAACAATAGTTATGCTAATTAACTAAAAAAAAACTATGAGGCATTGTTTATTCTAACTATTAATATAAATAAACTCTCATGAAAAAAAGTATCTCATGCTCAACAAGGCAGGATTTATTTGATCAAAATACAGTAAAAACAGTAATATTGTGAATTTAAAATAAATGTTTTCGTTAACATGTCATTTATTCCTGTGACGCAGAGCAGAATTTTCAGCATCATTAATCCATACTTCAGTTTCACATGATCCATCAGAAATCCTTCTAAATTGTTGATTTGCTGAAAAAATATTTTAACTTTTTTTATTAATCAACATTTAAAACAGTTTAATATATAATATAGCGTAATATTCTCGAGGAAACTGTGTTCAGAATGTTCTGATGAATAGAAAGTTCAAAAGAAATAGAAATAGAGAAAATTATATTGTAGAATTTGTGTGTGTGTGTGTGTGTGTGTGTGTGTGTGTCATCCAATTAAAAGCAGCCAAGACTCCATTAAGGTACTGTAGTGGTGACCAAACCAAGATGTGTGTCTTTGTGACTGTGTAAATGGTTTGTGACATGAGCCAGACCACTAACTCTGAGCCAGCCATTTGTTTCTAAGGTTTCTTGATCTGCTTGACATTTTAATTATTCTAAAAAAAAAAAAAAAAAATTATATTTATAAAACCCTGGCGTTTAAGTCTACCTGTTGATGTGTGTGTGCTGCTGTTTGGGTTTTTGGCTATCTCTGGGTCTCTGGGACAGAGAGGGCGAATGAACGGATGGGTTGTAGGCGTCCCACTTACTGGGGGATGTGGGTGAGCTGGCAGCTGCGTCTGCAGAGGTGGTGCTGGATTTGGACTCTGGGGGCAGCGTCAGACGGGGCAGGCCGGGGGGTGGTGGGGGGGCCAGCATCTGAGAGGAGATGTAGTGACTGGATACCTTCACCTGACCACTGCCATTCAACTGCAGAGGAAGAGAGGGCAACAGTCAGCCACTGTGGGGAGGGACACCTCACTGCCTCTACACAGCTAACATCACAATACATGCATCTACTGTCTCTGTGTTTGCGTTACCCTCTCTTTAGTTCTTTAGAGTCCCTAAATGGTAAAATTCTTTCAAGTTAGGTTAATGGTCTCAGCATATTTAGGACTACTAACTAAAAATAGCATGTTTGACACCACAGCAGGTTCTACCAGCTCTAATATGTTGATTTTGAGAACTAATACAGTGTTCCATTCCATTCATGTAAAATAGTCAGAATTTCCAACGTCCTACTTGGAAAAGTGCAATGGAATATGCCAGTATATCAATCCTGACATTGAAAATGATTGCATGAGGCTGAGGGCACAAAATGAATTGTAAAAATGTATTTAAATTGCATTTACATAATAAATGGCAGACGCTTTTAGCCAAACCAACTTACATTGCATTCAAGGTATACAATTCATGCATTCTCTGGGAATTGAACTGTTTGAGATATAGGAATGCTTTCAAAATTAGATAAAACCTGTTTAGGTAAAGCAAATGTTTACAGAGGAAGATGTGTAAAAAATAGTAAATAACCATCTCTGTTGATAATTGCACACATGCAAAACATGCTAGTGTTGCCATTGTGCTTCATTTTCCAAGTGCAAGATACAATTTTAGCAAGAAACTAGCACAAAATCTAGTGAAAATATTAGAATTTATTTCCAAACATGCTGTATTTGTCTAAAGAACTATTATTTAAAGTGGAAAAAACTACAGGTGTAAAATAGCACAAGTGCTACAACCTGGTAAATGATGAATAATGAATATTTTACATGGTCCCTCTTCCAAGATAAATAAATAAAAATTAAAATAAAAATGACTTTTTGTTCTAGTGAATGAACCATTATGCATCGTTCTGTCATCCTACCATGGCCGCAAATCCATAAAACCCTGTATCATGCTCTCTTTCGCTCTCTGAGGGTTTGGCTCTCGTTTGCATTCTCGCTGAGTAAAACTGCACACTCACTGCCCTGTACAACAATAGCTGGTGAGTGAGTCAGCGGCATTATGGGCCGGTGCGGCTGTTCTTTGTGACTGCTTGGCTACAGTCAGACTGCAGTAGGGGGAATTTCAATGAGTCTGCAGAATCGGCTGGGCCCGGCTGCCACAGGGCAAGATTCATAAATGTGTGTGTCTCTCTTTCTTCCCCTCATACACTTTCTCTCTCTTCCCCCCTTTATTGCCAACATCAGCAACACCCCTAGACACAGAGATCTCCTCCTCCTTGGCTCTATTTCCTGTTCTCTCACTCTCTCTGTCTGACGTGGAAATGGCACATGACTCTCCTACAGGTACTCCTGAGGTCATTCACACTTTGTGTTAGTTCTTTATGTCAGTGTCAGAATAAAGTGATCCAGCCACTCCAAATGTTTCTCACTCTGTTGAGTCATTAATGTTACACAGATGGCATCCTGGGGTGTATGATAAGTCATTAAGAGAAGAAATAACACTCAGATGTGTGATACTACCCCTGGAAAGCAAAACAGTAATTGATATTAAATAAATTCATTGGTGTTTTTTAAGATTACATTTAAATTAGGGGAAAAAACCATGCCTAATTAAATATTACAAAAAAATCCACTCAAAAAGGTTTAATGCTAGGTACACACTATTTCTCCCCTACTGACAATAATAGGTAAAGTCCCGATTATCTTGATGGTTCTACAGATTATCTTATCAGATTTTCCTGTGGTGTGAGGTGTGTTAAGAGTGACTGAATCTGCTCGGAAGAACGTTGATCAATATTTACGATCAGAAATCCTATTGTGTACGTTCAGGAGATTATAATGTGAAACTAAACAATACCCAATCAGAAGCGAGCTGACTGAAGACTCATCTCCAGCTCCTGCTGCCACATGTAAAGTCCATGTTCACACCATCTCCATGACTTAATTGAAACATTTATCGTTCTTTTTTTTTTTTAGACCGATTTAACCCCGATTTTCCCCTCCCAACAATCTGAGAAACTGTTGTCTGTGAGTGTGTGTGTGAAGGAAACAGGGCTGATGGATGCTGGTGTTTAGACTGCAGGTTGCTTTAACGGAAATGGTGAAATCCGACCAAGGCGTTGGTAAGCTTTTTTTGGCTCAGATTACATGGGCTCCAATCCATGTAAAGAACATGATGGCATGTCTATCAGTCTTTTTTTTCCTCTGTCTGGCTCTCTCTCACTTGCACACACTTAAACATACTGTATAAGCAAGGAAGTAAGCAGTTGATTTCTTAATTCATTCTTTCCGGTATCATTTATTTAATTGGTTTCCCTGAGGTCCACTTGTGGTTTTTTTAAGGCTGTCAAACGATTAATCGTGATTAATCGCATCCAAAATAAAAGTTTGTGTTTACATAATATATGTGGGTGGACTGTATAATTTTTTTGTGTTTATATATATATATATATATATATATATATATATATATATATATAAATACACACCCACATGCGTGAATATTTAAGAAAAAAATATTATTTATACATTTATATAATATAAATTATTAATAATTCTATATACAGTATATACATGAAAATATTTCTTAAATATATACAAGCATGTATGTGTATATATATATATATATATATATATATATATATATATATATAAATAATTATAAACAGTGCACCCACATATATTATGTAAACACAAACTTTTATTTAGAATGCGATTAATCGTTTGACAGCCCTAAAAAAAATTGGCAGTTTTTACCAATGACCTCTCTGACCTAAAGATTTAAATAGTATTTTTTTTTTAAAGAAGGGACAGTTTACACACACAAAATGGAAATTCTGTCATAATTTACTCACCCTCATGTCGTTCCAAACCTGTAGGGCCTATATCTCCAAGGAACACAAACAAAGATTATTTTGAAAAAAAGCTGGTAACCAAACAGTTTTGGTTAACATTGACTTCCACTGTAAGGATAAAATAACTGAGACATTTCTCAAAATATGTTTTATGTCCTGTAATGTCATACAGGTTTGGAACAACATGAAAGTGAGTAAATGATGATAGAATTGTAATTTTTAGATAAATATCCTTTTAAGAAACTCTCCCATTGCATGTACAGTAGAATGAGAAACAGCACTTTTCCTCCACTAAGTCAGGAGTTTCAGATTTGCAGTTGTATTCCATAAGGTTTTTAACAGGCCAGGAAAATATTACCTCTTTTGAGTACAAATTCAACAAAAAAATGTATTTGACATGCTAACAAATCCATTGCTGAATATAATAAACATGACAGGCTCAGAGTTGTGCTTGGCTCAAGTTCCCTTACAAGAATTATGGCTGCTGATTGGTGGAGCGGATGTTTGGATGATTTGGGATTTCACATTCCTTGATCTGTGATAGTTAAGATGTATGCTGAAAGTCATATAAGGCGTGTCTGAATGCCCCACGGGATGATCTTACCGGGCTGGGTTGCTGATTGGATGGGTCACAGGCCAGAGAGACCAGGTCTTTGAGGGGGTCTTGAGAGCTGAGGTGTGGGGGGTACCGGATGGCCGTGTGTGGGAAGTAGGTCGAGGCGGTCTGGGGGAGAATGGGACCAGCAGGGAAGTGCAGAGACGAGGAGGGATGAGGACTCCGAGAGATACCTGAAGGACATAAAGACATTCTGCCTTTAAGGAACTTCAAGAACTATTTGCTTAGTGCTTTTTTTATACTCTTTTATTAAGCAAGAATGCATTAAATTAATCAAAAGTGACAGTAAAGACATTATATAATGTAGATTATAATAATAAAAAAAGATTTTTATTAAAAAAAATTAAGCAGCACAACCGTTTTCAACATTGATAATAAGACATTTTTCTTGAACTCCAACTCAGCATATCAGAATGATTTCTGAAGGATCACAAAGTGGAAATTCAGCTTTGCCACCACAGGAATAAATTGATTTTAAAATATATTAATATTAAAAACAATATTAGTTTTTACTGTATTTTTGATCAAATAAATGATAAAGCATCACATAACCAATTTGAAGGCACATTAAAAGACACATTTGATAAAGCATCACATAACCAATGTCTAAATTAAAGAGCTTTGTTCACTTGTCACGTCACTGTCATATTTAAAAATCAAAACTCTCTACAGAGTACTTTGTATGCTGTAACACATTTGGCAATGCCCAACACAGAGATACAATTGTTAGAGCATAACTAAGCCAGCTGTGAGGCTTTGGAGATGACAGATCACTGTACTCCAAAAAGAAATGACCTGACAGAGACAGCACCACGTCTGAGCCCAATAAAATCGTGAATGATTTATCTGTGCACTTTCCATTTTTTAGAAATCTAATTGAACCCATAATTTTTTCATCAAATTGTCAGAATATCTTTCAGTGAAACGACAGACTTCTCTCTGATGACCTATGCCGGACTTCTCCAATCCTTTAGGCCGTTTAAAGCTGCAGTTTGTAACTTTTGGTTAATAAACAGAACTGCATGCATCAAGAACATTGTAGCCGGAGTTATTTCTCTCTGTTTATGTCTATGACGTGTCATGTACAGTAGGTACTGGGCAACTCTGTAGTGGTACAACCCCGAACCAGTCTAAAATAGTCATATATAAACACTTATTATAAGTGTACTGTAGTGATTCAGGATAAGACTGTTTGGAAAATGGATTCAAGATGTAATCACTCATTATATGATATTTGTACATTTTGAACACAAAAAAAGTTACAGACTGCAGCTTTAAACTCTGCCCCTTTCTTACAAGTGACTGCATTCATATTAGCCTTCATCCAATCAACAATTGATAGATGCAACTTTAATCAATTCATGTTATTCCTTTCATCAAAATCATCATCATTTTGCCTTAAATAGCTATTTTTTACTATTATTTACTTAATAGCCATTTTTCACTCAGTGTGGCTCCATTTTGGTATGTTATTTCAACTTTTCACCATCTTTCACAATTCCTGATGGGTAAAATAATGTCTCAAGATTTTTTCTTGTTCAGTATCTTATTTCACTCAGGAAAACGTCACATTAAGGAAGCAAAATAGGTAGCGGATGGCAATTCATGTTGACTTTTACTAGGGCCACATATAAGCAGGTTGTACAAGATATGATTATATTAGCAGAGAGAGTTTGGATAACTTAACAGTAACACAAAAGAGTAGAAACTGTGTATTTGTGTCTCCCAACTGGCCATTTGCTGTGTGTGCAGCGTCGACAGTGATGACAGAACAGACATGCACGTGTGTGTGTTGTCCCCTCACCGCTGTGCACTGCAATGACAGGTCTGTGGTGCTGTGTGAAGCCGAGGCGTGGAGAGCTCTCTTGAGGAGATGGACTATCCATCTCTGTCTTCTTAACTGTAGGGGAGATTCCTGTGTGAAAAAAAGAGAGAAAAAGTAGAGAGAGATGGAGGAGGGGGAGGAAAGCGCGTGCTTCACTAATACAGAATACTGCAAATTCAGCTCCATTGTTCTATACAAGGACAAACTTTTCTGAGTCTAAAGGAAAGCTTCGTCAGCTAATTAACGAGCACTGCGTGGTCACTCTCGATGCTTCTGTCAGGTCACAGCAGATGCTTCCAGTCACAACAACTGACCACAAGGTGGCGCAGTGTGACGAGAGAACCAGGAGTTTCGACAGCGCTGCGGTGCAATGCAGAGAGCGCACTCTCTTCTTGCGGCCAGACCAATGGGATTATGGGAAAATAGTAGCTGATGATCTGCACTGGTTATTTAAGGTCAATACAACGATACAGTCTCCATATGGATGTTTCCAGAGTGATCTATTTATAACCTTCTCTACATGGAAGATTTTCCTAATAAGTGACTTCTTAAGTTCCCAGAAGTTTTGTTTTCAAAGAACGATCTTCATTCAATGTTCTTTCTTATTGTTTGTAGTTATAGGATGTCATTTATATCTGCTCACCCTGATGTTGTTTGTTTCAAACCTGTTTCACTCACTTTCTTCAGGAGAACACAAAATAAGTTTTAAAAATCTCTTTACTGTAAGAATTGTAATGTTCCACAGTGAGTAAATGATGACAGAATTTCAATTTGTAAGTGAACTATACCATTAGGCAAACAAATCATAAATGGATACAGGTGCCACATTTTAACCTCCAGGTCTCAATCCATAAATACCTGTAAAGGTGAGCATAGAGACAGAGCACAGAGCAATCAGATGGAAGATTGTTAAAGAGAAACTCATTAGGATTGTCTAGACAGGAAGTTAGGTGGGCAGGGTCGGGCCACCACAGGGGGTTCAGCTGTGTGTACGTTCATGAGATTTGCCATAAGGGCTGATATGAGAACAGTGATACTACTTCATACACAGTGATGGATTTCAGATGCCTGCTGGTTATAGATCAATGGGGAGGGGTGAAGCAGGTCTCCTGCGATCTTAAACAACAGTTTTGCCTGGAGGGTTAATGGATATTCACAAGGGTGTGACAGAAGTCAGATGTTATGAAAGGCCTGAAATGCCAACTCAGCACCTTTCTAATCTCACAATGAACAATGAAGGATTTAGGCTGAACTGGAGATACTTTATGTCAAAGCATGCAAATTAATTCAAAAATGTTTTTTTTTTTCTTTTTCATTAGGGCATTTTTCATCATTTCCAAAACGTAATGAGCTGCCTTGCCACTTCCTACAGAAAGCAGCATCCTAACCATCATCAAACCTCATTATCATTAGAATGGTTCTAAGCTAATGCCACAATATTCAATAAACAAAAATTGATAAAATACTGGGTAAAAGAATGTTAATTACATTAAACAGTTTTTAAACATCTAATTAAATATATTATGCTTTATTCTTTATTATTATAATATATAACGCTTTAACAACTTACATTTTATTAATATTAATATATGTTAATTTATATATTCACTACAATTCAAAAGTTTGGGGTCATTATGGTTTTTTTAAAGATTTTTTTTTTTAGCAAGGATGCATTAAATTGATCAAACGTGACAGTAAAAACAATGTTTCAAGAATTACAAAGTTTCAAGAAAATTCTATTTCAAATAAATGCTGTTTCTATGAATCCACAAAAGTGGATCAAAACGTTTCCACAAAAAAATAAATAATCAGAAACACAAAATCAGCTTTGCCATTCACAGGAATAAACTACTAAATAGATATTTTTTTAATATCTGCTGAACATACAAGACTCTTAAAAACTTACCAACCTTACTTAAAATTGTTAACAATACAGTATATTTATAATAATCTATGATTTTATGAGATTACATTTTCTGCAAAGGATACAACAAGTCTTAAAATTTGGCCAAAAATAAGATATATTATAAAGCAAAATAATTCAGATAAACAGTCTATAGTGTGTTGCCTTAAAATGCTCCTTCAATAGGGAGATCGCTAGGTTTTAGAACAGTCTTTCATTGAACCAATTTTACATAAAAGCAGACTCAACAAGGTCACACAGCATCAAATATATTTGACTAAAAAACAGCATTAAGATGTGCACCTATGAACCGCACATATTCTTGTATTTGGTCCCACAAACTTGAACTCCCCCAACATAGGCCTAGACTGCTCACTGAAACTTCCCCGTACAAAAACCTAGAGGTGGATTACAGTTTGCATATATACTAGCTGCATCAGCATAAAAATAGCTGTCTAAAATGGTTTTATACGATTTTTAAGGGTCTTTATGGTGCGTTGATGGCTGTCAAAACCCCTCAGCTATTCACAGCATCAAAGGCAATGATCCTTCACACACATTTAATTTATTAATTATGATTTCGCATCAAGTGTGAATCTGATATGCACTGTCACACATAAGCTAGTCCCAATTTACAGTGCTGCTAGATAAATTGAAAATCCCCCCAAAAACGAAATGAAAACCTTCCTTTGCTCTATGCATTATGAGCCTGGCAGTAAACCAGCCAACCCAGCTATTCTATTCATAAGCCATTTACCTAGAAGTGCTTCATGAAGATCCCAAGGAATCAAAAGTATAACGAAAAAATGATATTTGCAGAGTAGAAAATCGAAGGGCCAAAGGTCAAACTATTGACTACAGTGATACGGCAGATCTCTCTCAGTTTGAAAAGACAGCAAATACTGAGTTGGGAGCAATTCTGCTTCAAGGTACAGAACAGAGTGCAGTGCTGCTTTCTGCAGACTTTCACAAAAAATGAGAGTTCATGAATTAATTAGGATTTGGCACTACGTTAAGGAAATTCAAATCCAAGTCCAGCCTAAGCTTGTGATTTTAGACTTCCTCTACTGCAGTTGAAAACCTGATATGTTTGTCATTCACTATCTGAATGGGCTTCAAAAATAGGCCCACAACTATGCTTAGGAAGATGAAAATCTCCATGCACATTAGGCACGCACTAGTCGACAAATCGGTTAGTTCCACCACTATTCATTGCTTTGGATCTGTGTCGACTAGATCATTTCAGTCAGCGGCACTTCATTATAGCAACAAAAGCGTTATTTAATACTTTGGAGTTCACAATGAACGGCACAATGGACCAACTAAAACTCAAGTATTAAAATGTAATAAAAAGCCGAAGTAAAATAAATGAAAATCCTAATCTTAATTGTAAAATCAAACACAAGACTAACCTCCTTCCATCTCCTCTGGCCAGTTGCGTGAACTGCTGGCGGGGGAGTTGGGAGAGGTGTAGTACTCGCCCCCTGGGCTGGTGTCTATATCGTCCTCCATGGATCCTGACTTGTGTCTTTTACTTCTGTGTAAGACAAAAAGGAGAAAGAGAAGAGAAAATGAACGATGGAGCCAAACCTTCAGACACATATGCTCTCCCAAACTGTCTGGCCCTGCTTTATGCATGTCCCTCGGACCTGCTTTTCCCAGGCACTTGACTACATTGAGCAGATTGCCAACATTCACCTTTTGTTTTAGCTTTGCAGTGCGTTTAATGGAAAATAAGCGCATTAATCAGGACTGAGGGCTTGAGCAAACCACAAAAGCAGATAAATCAAATAAACTGCCCTCAGCAGACCTGAGTGAGGGGCCATGCTCCTTTCACACTCACTCATCTTTCCCAGGTGCATGTAAGCATGTAGTTTTGTGATGTTTTTATTCAGCTTTGTGTATCGCCCGAGGTGGTTTTTGCCGTGATGCACACATGACAAATCTTATTGTCACTATGGTGTACTGGTGTCTTGAGCTCAAAATGCCTCAGGGTTCCTCGGTCTAACTCTGCCAATATAGCCATAGTTGACAGCCAACATTAATCTCATGGCGATATTCTGACAGGTACATTTAAAACTCTCTAAGCCTTGTTTAACCGCCCCGAAATCTCACATGCTCCACAGTTTCAGCCTGGTTCAGATAAGTAGGCCAAACAAATTCTGCTTTGGACCAATAAGCAACTGCTGCAGGCTGTTGAATTTATAGCAACACAGAGGACGACAAAACTCAAAAACAACAGCCGGCATTCAAACATCTACATTGTAGCCGCTGTTGGGAAAGTTATACCCAGTACAACCCAGAAGCGCTGGCCTGTTACACTACGTCAACAGCTTAGGAGAATGACATGGAAGGGAAGAGATGGTTGAATAAAGTCGATATTTTAGTTTTTTTTTTTACGCATAAAATGTATTCTTTTCGCTTGATAAACTTAATGTTAAGGCACTGTAGTCACTTGGACCATTGTAATGACGTCTTTACCAACTTTTCTGGGCTGGCAGATATCAATTACCTTGCAGCCTATGAAGGAGTGAGCCAGCTCTGAGATTTAATCAAAAATATCTTATCTTATCTTTTGTGTTCCGAAGATGAACGAAAGTCTTACGAGTTTGGAACAACATGAGGGTGAGTAATTACTGACAGTATTTTCATTTGGGTGAACTAACCCTTTAATTAACATCAGACTGACTGAACCACTGAACTGAATCATAGGATGTTCATGACTTCAAAGCTAGACATAGATGGAATTCTTATTTCAATGTCAATTTAGAGTCAATTTTGCATTGGGTAAAAAAATGTGTCTTTATTTTGTGTTATTTTTTCAAACCACATAAATTCACACACAAACATAGATTGGATCACCAGTCGAAAGTAGCTCAAGGACAGAGTGCCTTTGACAAGAGGTTTTCTGCCCACTGCAGGCGGATGTGTGGTGGAGACATGAGTACTGACCCACTAGAGGAGGTGCTGGGCAGGGTTCTCCTCATTCCCACCCCCGAAGGGTTCAGGTCATAAGCAAGATGCCCCTGCAGCTCTCCGAGAGAGAAGTTTGGCCCCGTGCCCGTCACCACCGGTGCTGCACACACATACAACATACAAGAAGATTTACAGGCTGCAGAACAATTTAATATATTTATTTATATAAATTATATACTTGTATAAAAAAAAAAACATGTACTACCATTCAAAAGTTTTGGGCTCCTGGTAAGATTTCTTAATGTTACTGAAAGTGTCTTATGCTGCATGGGACTGCGTTTGTTTGATCAAAAACAGTAAAAACAGCAATATTGTGAAAAATAATTACTATTTAAAAATATATTTTATAATTTATAAAATATAATTTCCAGCAGTCATTACTTTAGTCTAAAGTGTCACATGATCCTTCTAATCATGTGGTCTGGTGCTTGAGAAACATTTGGTGTGTGTTCATCTTGAATTGGGGCTGCGCAGACCGATCTGTGTATGACATCAAGGTACTGCGAAAGTGATTCGAAAGCATACAGAGCCGTCTGCTCTCTAATTGCTCTTGTGTTACTTTGATGTCATACACCAATCGGTCACCAATTAAATACACCTATTATTATTTCAACCCGATCTCATGGCAATTTGTACGAATTTTACGAGGTGGCTAATTCGTATGAATTAGTATGATTTTATGAGTTTCCCAATTCGTAAGAATGATCTACCCCTGACCCTAAACCTATCCATCACTGGGGTTTAGACAACTTGTGTGAGGTCATATGAATTCGTACGAACTATCCACCTTTTACTCACTCGTACGAATTGATTGTGAGATAGCGTTGATTATTTAAATGCTGAAAAGAGTTGTGCTGCTTAAAAAGTTTGTGGATTCTTTAATGAATAGAAATGTCAAAAGATCAGCATTTATTTAGGCTTTTGTAACATTATAAATGCATTTATTGTCACTTTTGACCAATTTAATACATCCTTGCTAAATAAAAGTATACATTTCTTTTTTTTTCTAAAAATAAATAAATAAATAAATCTTACTGACCCCAAACTATTGAACGGTAGTGTACTTGTGGCCATGATACCATTTACCATTTTTGGACATTGTATCACTATAATACGATGTGATTTGGACATGCATCATTGTTATACCATTGTGTGTTTTTAAATAGTGGTTGTAACATTCGTATTCTGCCAATTTAACAAGATCTATCAATCTAACAAAGAAACGAGCATAGAAATCCTTTTACGTCGGGGTTCAAGTGTGATTCATGAAACTTTTTATGCTCCCTTCCAATCCAATCGTACAAATGATCGTATGTTGATAAATGTGGCGGCTCAAAACAATCATTTAAATATCACGCCCTTAAAAATTCACGGTTTAGAAGCTTTGCCCCTAGAGTTTATGACATGGAGAAAAGTAACCTGGCAAAGAAGATGAAGTAATCTCTAAGAAGGAGCCTATTTTTAATGGACCAATAATATTGTTTAATGGATAATGATCAGTTAAAAAGTGCTGTTTGTCAGTCAGGAAAATAATCTAAATTAACAAAATGCTCTCATAACCATTCTTCACCATATTTGCTGTTGCATGCAAATTTATACTAACTCAAAAACAGAAACCTGACATGAGATTTGATCGTAGCCACCGCTCATGTCCATATTAATAAATGCCATGTTTTTGCGTGAAAACGACCATACGCCAAAATTCCGCCGTTTCGTAAATGAGGGCCATTGTGTTTTGGTTCTGTTTTCCGTGTTCCCTAGTTAGTTTCCATGGTTGTTAATTAGTTCTACACGCCAGTTACATCATATCTTGATTACTCCCCAATGTATTTAAGCCCTGAGTGTCCTCAGCTCATTCGTGTGGTATCGTCTATGTTAACGTGGTTGTTAGTTTTTATCCTGCGATCTCCTGAGTGTTCCATGTGGATTTTATAATGACTTTGTTTGTTACTTATCTCCTTCGTCGTGTGTGTTACTACAGCCACTCAACACTGACAGGGGTAACATAAAATATTGTGGCAAATGAAAATAGTAATCATTCAGTACCATGGTACATTTCAAAGTAATACTACAGTACTTATGCATTAGAAGATAAATACTGCAGTGCACATCCTGATAACCACTCCTCACCACCATCACATAGAGGAATATTTGGGGATAAGCCGCGACTCTTTATTGATATGTTCAACACTGGTTGTTGTTATCTAGTGTACAGTAAACCAGAGTTTTGAAGCATGACTTGTTAAATGCTTGCATTAGGTGGGTGTATCTCACACATTGATGTCTAAATCAACGCGAGGCTTATGAATCTGTGCCACTGCATGTCTGCTCTTACCTGAGCTGAACTCTTTCTTAATATCATTCCATTACTCTGTGTATGTTCAATTGCATGGTACTAGCTCAAGCAAAATGGGCAGGCTGTATTATGTGTGTTCAGTTGTGTTTGAATGTGTTGTATGCAAATATAATGTGGGAACAATGGGCTTGTTGTTCCAGCAGGTATGACTGTGACCTAGAGCATATGAAAATCAAATATTGTGTAGGAGTAAATCAGACCTGGTTTAAGCATGTTGGTTAACGCTGATAAAACTGCATTATGCAAAATAAGACATTGAATTAATCTCTGGCCCTTAACATGCATTCACAATCTATTAGTTTGTATATAACTTGTAAAACACTGTGATTGCACACAGGTGTGAGGAGCAATACACAATGACCTTGCTTATCTGACTACCAGACAATAGGAAGCCATCTGGGAAAAAGAAAATAATTTCAGCTAAACACAATCAATTACATTAGACAAACCGGCGGGATTCCTTCCCTTCTAATGAGGAACTGTCAAACCTGACGTGAAACGGCTGTGAAATTGACGATTTTGTGTAATATGTGAACATGGGCTGTGTGGGAGGTAGAAAGGGAAAAAGAAAAAAGACAAGAAACTCGAACAAACCGATTCACTGAAATGGATTAGACACTCAAAGATAAAAAATATCCTAAAACCTGTATGACATTTCAGGTTGAACTATCCCTTTTAGTGCATTCTATAAAATACAAAAGCATCTCACTTCTTGATACTTGCACCAGTTCTGTTACACTGAAGACGCCTGAAGTTATGAAGCTCTCTTGAAACTCTGGGGCATCTGTTAAACAAAAGAAAACATGGAATAAATGATGGCGGAGTGCTTTCCAACACAAGGATATCACCGGCATCTCAAGCACAAAGAAATTCAATTTAGTTTTCATCTCTAAGTCACTCTGGATAAAAGCATCTATTGAATGAATGTCAATGTTTTACATAAACAGAGTCTGTTCAGCTAGTAAACACTGGTTTTAGTCAATTATGGACAAAACAAAGCAATGTGCTACTCAGCTAAAGTTCTTATTTAGGTGAGGTTCTCAGCAAATATTGACATATGTGATTAATACAGAATTTAGAAATGCATAAAAACATACACACCGTTCAAAAGTTTAGGGTCTGTAAACATTTTTTTTTTTAAAGAAGTCTCTCATGCTCAACAAAGCTGTATTTATTTAATCAAATTATAAAAACAATAATATTCTGAAATATTATCACAATTTAAAATAAATGTTGAATGAAATTATTCTAATATGCTGATTTGGTGCTCAAGAAACTTTTGGAAAAATGTTTTTCAGGATTCAAAAGAATTTGTTTTTCATTTCAAAAGAACAGCATTTATTTGAAGCAGAAATCTTTGTAACACTGCAAAAGTCTTTATTGTCAATTTTAAACAATTTAATGCATTTTTTTCTGAATAAAAGCATTCATTTATTTCAATACATATCTTATTGACTACAACCTTTTGAACAGTAATGTATATTATTATAACAATCACATTAAAACAACCGCATATTAATCGGTATGCAATATCATATTTAACTCAATTAAATTCTGAAATCGATTGACTAACTTATTTTTAAAGATTTGCCAATGGAAAAGTACCTCGCCCATCCCATCAGTCCAATAATAATACCACAAGATTATGGTCAAGTCTGAATGTGCGAAATCGACCTGATCTCAATCGCATACCATTCCTATCCTATCAAGCATTACCCGAAAAAGAGCTAGATTTGTATCCACCATGTAACGCAGAATAAACTGTTGGCCTTTCAGACTAGTTCTGTTGAAACAGGGGAATGTGGGTAGGAGTGTGACGAACTGGGCAGAGATAGATAGAGAGATGTTGAGTGTATGGCTATGGGTTTGAACTAGCAGTGCATGTAGGTTGCGTTGTGTAAACAGGATGTTTGTATAGTGCAGGAGAGGACGCTTACAGGACTGCACCGCACTGTATGCTGCAGCACACAGTATACTGCAAGTTGTGTGAATGTGTGTGTACATGTGCCCTCTTACCCATGGTGCCTGCTCGACTGTCCTCCTGATCTGAACCAATGCCTGTACGAGGACTGCTGCTCTGTTCAGCCTCTGAGAAAGAACAAGAAATAGAAATATATTAGTCCCCTACTAAACGGATTCTATCAATAGATATATACTGTAAAGGTCAAGGGGTCTGAAGAGTTGAGGTCAAGGTTCTGCTAACTGTACAATAATCCTTATATGCAATCCTCCACATTGGTTTTCTGTGATGAACTGAACATTGATAGTGAATGAGTTGGTCTACTTTATATTTTAAAAATATATAGAAAATATTCTAATTTTCAGGTCAAGTGACTGGCATCCATTTTTATCTAAAAGTAACATTTTAGTTTGCCGAGACTGTTATTTTAATGGAAAATAAACTGTACATTTTAAACAGGATTATTTGAATACAAATGTTTTATAAATTGACAGTATATATATATATTTATTTTTTGTCCCTGCTTTAGTGTTTTAAATAAAAATAAGAAAGAACATATTAGATCTTATATTTTTCAGCCACATAACAATATATTTTAAAATGTACCTATCTTGGCAGGGTAAGTAAAAATCTGAATTACTGGCACTAATAGGTCAGTAGAAAATGAATAGAAAACATACAAATAATAAACAGTTGAATGTGATTCTATGCTGTAGACTGCAGCAGGATTAGAGTATACAAAGAGTCTTGAGTTCGTCCCAAATGAACAAAAACCTCGGACATGTTGGCATATGGTTGATCATGTCAGCGATAGCTTTGGTAATCCAACATAAGAATATGTTTCTATATAAACAGCAGAGAAAGTGAACACTCTGTATGTTTTATATAAATCACTCAAACGTTACTGATACAGCCATGCACTCTGATATCACGTCAAACTGAGTCTCGGCCAAATGGCTCATAAGCCTTGTAAATGAGAAACACGCCGTATCAAAGTACTCCAAAACCATTCAAATATTCTCTTTCTTTTCAACTTGTTTGGCAAGGCCAAGCGTAATCTTGTTGAACCCTCTTCACTGGCAGAGCACGGGGATTGTAGTGCCAAAGTGTAAACTCATTGAAGCAACACAATAATGACAAAACAACCTAATCCAACCATAAAACCTTCCCATTTGTGAGCGTTCCAGCTCTTTGCCACACGGATGTGAGGGGAAAACACAGATAAACACATAAAACGAATTTGAGTCAAGAAGCAGCGGAGGATTTTCTGAAAAGGCAATGAAAGAATGGAGGGGTTACCGCAAGGACTCTGGCAGGCGTTCAAAGAAAAGCCAGTAAAAAAGCTCAAGCTGGATAAATAAATAAGAGTGCTCCCTATCAGATGGGCCACACGCCACTGCCAGTTCAAAGTCGAGGAGAGTCCAACCGGCTGCACACGTCTGAATGCAACGCTTCATTAAGACTATCACACTCTTTGTGGCCTGCAGGACATGGAGGCTGACCGCAAACTACATCTCAGGACCCATGAAAACACACAGGCAGCAGCAACACAACAGCGATTACGGAGCAAATATCTTTTTTTTTATAGGTAATCCCATAAAAGTCAATGTGAATTTGTGTTTGCAACCAATTTCACTTTCATAATGTGGCATAATTCCAAACAGGATATTCAGCTAAACAAAATGCAAGGTATTATGAGAAGTGGGCGTTACATACCAAAATGGAACCAGAGTGAAGCGGTTTTGCTAAATTTGGCTATTGATTAACATTACCCAATAGCCCAATTGACCTAGGTGATGTCACTAGAAAAGAAAAGTAATTTCAGAGGAGGAGAAAGTAGGGCTGTCAAATGATTAATCGCGATTAATCGCATCCAAAATAAAAGTTTGCGTTTACTGTACATAATACTGCATATGTGGGTGGTGCACTGTGTATAATTATTTTGGATATATAAAAATACACACATATGCATGTATATTTAAGGAAAAAAAAAATATTTATATATAAAATATTTATATTTATATATAATATAAATTATTTATAAATCTATATACAGTATAGACATGAAAATACTTCTTAAATATACACAAGCATGTGTGTGTATTTATATATATATATATATATATATAAATTATATACAGTGCCTCACCCACATATATTATGTAAACACAAACTTTTATTTTGGATGCGATTAATCGTTTGACTGCCCTAAGAGAAAGTCATTACATAATGATTAAAAATTGCGAAGACAAAGTATTTTTTGCCTTAGAAATAAGACACACCACCACTGAATAAATCACAATAAGACCAGGAATGTGCATTATAAAAATAAATATGGTCAATTTGGATTTTATGTTGACTTTAAAATCACATTAAGACTAGTCTTCAATCCGCCCTCTCAGATAATTATTCCAGCGCAATTCATTTTCCCCTGCCACAAAATATGAAATGTTTTCTTAAAATATATGTGCAAAGTGCAGCCTAATGATGTTGTTGTAAGTAAAATACACATGCTCTGGGAAAGAAAAAAAAAAGATTTATAAACACTACAAATCTTCAAAAGTTCAATGACATTCCAAAGGAAGAGGTTGGACCCGGGCCATAATACTCAATGTTTTGATTATGAAGAATTGGAGAGGCCTTAAACAGTAGGAGACAGATGGATGCTGAGAGGTCTGGAGTTTGTTCCAGAGGAGACGAGCAATGTTTAAAAGCGCGGCAAATAAAAAATTAAAAATAACCCAACACAAAAACATAAACAAACATGTCTGTCATCGCTGCGATTCTTCGCAGGCCAGGATGATTAGCGCTGCCAGCTACAAAGAGGGACATGCTCCAGTTCTTTCTCTGCTTTTCTCCTCCATGACTGTCTTCAGAGTCCTATACGCTCCTGCCAAAAGCTGTGGCGGTTTCTAGGCAGGCAGCCCTCAGACAGAATCACTGGCAAGGAGAATTGGAGGGAAGGACAAATAAAAGTGTCAGTTTGAGGGAGAAACTGGCACCGAGAGGCTATGACACATCTCTGTGTCCAAAAAGATCCGTGAAGCTGAAGACACCAAAACATAAAAAGTAAATAAGAGTTGAAGTACTGTACCCAAATGAGAGCTCCTCATTTAATTTCCAACATAAGTCCAAGCAGAAATGGAAAGTATGATGCCAAACTATTAGCTTGAACAATGGCCATTTTCTTTGTGGTGCATGGAGTAAATGTTTGCCATTTTGTAAGTAGATTTCTCAAAAAGTGGAACAATAATGACAAAATAAAACCTAATCCAATTATAAAACCTATTTCCACACAAATCTAAGGGTTGAAAACGCAGGTGACATTCACAACATAAATAAAAGAAATGTGTATGCGAACAAAAAAGTACAAATGCAGGTAGAAAATGTAATGTGATGTAATAAAATGTGCTTGAACAACATCCATTTTCTCTCAAACGCGGCATTTTGTAAAGCCATTTTTCAAATTCTGAAACGCAACAGTAGATTTCCTTAGTTGGACTACAATTCAAAGTGTAATTTGGACACGTTAGTCTAGTCTACTAGTAACCCAAAAAATAATTCTGACCTATCAAGTGGACTGCTTCCTTCTCCTTCAACAAAACCATTTTTGCCTCTAGCTTCTGACTTCTTTGTGTAATATCTTTAGCATCTTGATGATTTAATGGCCTCTAGCTTAAGACATTTTTGTCCTTGTATGTGTTTTCCATACTAAAACTGTCACTGCAGTAAAAGTGAGGTTGCTTCTAGTGAAAGTTGTAGCTATTTCTTTTCATGCAAGCTACATTTCAAGCCAGGAATCAGTCATCAACACAGCCATTTAAGTTTTTTTTTTCTTTTTGGCAGACATTTCATGAGCAGAGAGGAGGTTTGTCGTTGGCAGCCATTTTAGATCACTCTTTCTGCTTTCACTCCCTCTCTCTATCTCTCACACTCATTCTATGCCTCCCTCTTTGTCTCAAGCAAGAACAAAGTTTAAGTAACTGTACTGAAGAGTGCCAGCTTGCCTATGTGCCAACTCACTCCGTTCAGGGCAGAAGAGAGAACGAGAGAGAGACAGACAGACAGAGAGAGAGAAAGGCAAATGGCCGCTGCAAATGGTTGGCAGAGACTCTGAAGATTTAGAAAGTTGGAGTGGGCAGAGAGCGAAAGTCACAGAGAAAGTTTGAGATGTGGTAGTGACCTTACGTGAAAGACATTCCTGTGCACTGCCTCAGCCATTAGAGTGACTAACAGCTAAATAACAACATGAGATATTACGCAGTGAGTCATGGCAGGAAGAGTGAGCAAACTTTCACTCTTTCAGACCCAGAGGAAAATAAACACAGTTTGCAGCTGAGTTCAGAATGTTCCTCTAGACATCCAGCAGGCACACAGAAACTCAACACTTTTCAAATCCTCAAAATACGTCATAGGCTAGATAATTAGGGGTCATCATGGGGTCTAAAATTACTGTCATCTTGTTCTAATTTTTGTGGAAAAACTATGCTGCAGAAAAAAGATAATAAGTCAGTGTACCACTACCATTCAAAAATGTAGGCTCAGTAAGTTTTTTTTGAGAAATTAATCATTAAAGGGGTTAATCCACTTTTTTTGGAAATAGGCTCATTTTACCTCTCTCCCAGAGTTAAACAGTTGAGATTTACCGTTTTCGAATCCATCCAGCCGATTTTATGATATTTAGAATAATATCAGTAACCAGAGAGTTTCTGGTCTCATTGACTTCCATAGTATATTTTTTCCTACAATGGAAGTCAATGAGACCAGAAACTGTCTGGTTACTGATATTCTTCTAAATATCAAAAAAACGGCTGAATGGATTCAAAAACGGTAAAACCCAACTGTTTAACTCTGGGGGAGTTGTAAAATGAGCCTATTTCCAAAAAAAGTGGAGCATCCCTTCAATTCAGCAAGGTTGCATTAAATTTATCAAATGTGACCATAAAAACATTTATAATGCTATAGACAAAAGATTTTTATTTCAAATAAATTTTTTTTTTAACTTTTGATTTATCAAAACAAATCACAAAATTATAAATTGTTTTAGCAAAAAAATAGTATGCAGAACAACTGTTTTCAACATTAATAAGAAATGTTTCACTGTAAAAAGTGATCAGTTGACTTTGTA